GCTAAAAATCTCTCACTTGCCACTGAGAAAATTCTGAAGACAAGGGGTAGTTGTGTCAGTCGGTCCCAACAAAAATAATAAAGAGTCTTCCGGCACCTTAAAAACTAATATGTTCCACGTTGCTTAAGCTTTTCTGTCTGGAGGAAATGGCTTTCCGTCCATGACATCATGTCCCCAAATAAGACATCTTCCTCTTTAATGTGACACAGGATTCCAAGTTGCCACCACTAAGAATATCACCACACATTCAAGGTGCCTTGCAACACTGTCTCTTCCCTGTGGGCAAAGCCTTCCCCTGGTTCCTTTCCATGGTTTCTCACATCCTGATCTGCCTCCTCCAGAATCTGACTTTGCTTTTGCACTGATTATGTCTGCATTTGCCTCTTTGGGATGATCACCGATTTCTATGTATCTGGGCACCAGCAGCCTAAAAGCCTGTCTGCACTGAGGTCTGACAGCATTATGTTCTCACGTGGCCATCATAGATTTTAAAAAAAAAATTTAAAGGGGCAGGTACCAGGGAAAGTGCACCATCTGAGTAGTGACTGAATACGTGCTCCATATCTTTAATAAATTAGAGCATTTGGAAGAGAAGATAAGAATTGGCTTCATTAAGCAACACAGGAAAATTGAGATTTGGACAAATCATTAGTCCAGACATATTAATAATATATCAATGCAATGGACAATGCAAATATTTTTATTTCTTTGGACTTTCCTTATTTCTGCAAATGTAAGGCCCAGATCAAGGAATGTGGATGCATTTCTTTGTTTTGGTTTCTACGTACAGCATCCAGACTTGTTGAACAACACATTTCTACATTAATTTCCTTTTAATTTTTTTAATTTTTATCTAAATTCCTGCATGAAAAACCATACCTCCCCCCTTTTTTTACACTTCTTCTATAGTACTCATTTTTCATTGGAAAACTTTGTCACAAAATGTGGAGACCATATAAAAACTGAAGGATAATATATACTTCCCACCACCATTTTGTGGTGGTGGGTGGTATACTGTTTATGTTCGGGAGACATGCGCTGATTCGTTCATATTGCAATGCAGACTATACCAGTTTCTCTCTCGTCTTTAACCAGACGTTTGCCCATCATCCACATCAAGTGCTAGTGGGTTTGGGTCCCAGGTCTCAGGCAGAGAAAGGCCTTCCCCTTACCTGACATCCTTTGCAATGGCCGGGGCTAAACTTGAGACCATTGTCTGCCTGTGTGATGGGATTTCACAGAACTTGACTGCATTTGTACACAACTCAGCTCACTGGCAACAAATACAAACGCAAAACAACTTTAAGGAAAACAGAGCATCAGGCTTCCCAGAAATGTTTGTATACACTGTACAGCTGGAAGAGAAATTTCAGCTGGCTCTGGAATCAGAGCCAGGTTTCCCATGAGGGAAAGAGAGGCAGCTGCCTTGGACTGGAGAGCCGATAAATCCGGCCTGCAGAGGAAAAATCCGCTGGGAGATTCTCCTGATCTGCCTTATTAACATGAGCAGGAATTGCCGCAAGAGAAGAGGACGGTTGTGGACTGTGAGCTCCCTGACCTCCCAATTCATAAGTATATGTCAGATGAAGGTGGAACCATCCATACCTTTTTTTTCCCCCAGCAGCACTGGCCTTTCTTGGGCCAGCTGGGTCTTCAGTAGCAGGTGAAGCTTAAGATTAGGATGAAGGTTCTTCTCCTAAGCATAATTGCACTGAGGAGGCTACAGGCACTTCTGAGATGGGCAGCTGCCTTTCCCTCTCCAAAGCAAAGGAGAAAACAGTGGACAATCTTGTGCATTTTTTGGTAAAGCCTCATGTCTCCAGGGCAGCCTCTGTCTGGGACTGCCTGACTCATGGTTTTTGGATGCCTGATGGGGTTGGCAGTACTTCTTCATGAAAAGAGTTGGAGCCGCCTGAAGGTCTGCCTCTTCCCATGGCAATTATGCTCCCTCTGGGATAAGACTTCCTCTTCCGTGCTGAAACAGATCCGAGCAAATGGGAACAAAGGGTCACAGCCTATTGCATTTGGGCTCGCCAGAGCAAGAGGCTCTGTAATGAGACCCACAGTACGAAGAACAGCAGTGTGTCTTATGCTACATAAAGCTTTGGAGCAGGATATTTATAGGGTGTTATTATTCCTAGGGCTCAATGTACAGTATATTTTTAACCTGAAGGCATGGGGAATAGTCATGTATTATCATATTTTACTGTAGCTTTTGATGAGAGAAGTCTCTTTTCCCCAGGAATAGAATCAAAATGGAAACCTGATGTTCCTTTGTGAGAATATGCAATCTCTTACTCTCTTTTTTTTAATGAGCAGCAAACCTCTGTGTCCATTAATGCTTCTAAAAGCCATGTTGGTCTCCTCCTTTGTGCCAAAAATGAGCATGCAGAGGGAGGTGATATCAGAGATTACATCAAAGGGACCTGAAGCGTTTGCAAACAGGAAACAGCTGCTCATACTTACTCTCCCCATCCTGCAACTTGAAGTTAACAGTGTAGACTGAAGAAACACTCCCCATCCTACAATTTGGTTGAAGTTAACAGTGTAGACTGAAGAAACAATATCCCCCCCCCACACACACACATCAAGTGCTAGTGGCTTTGGGTCCCAGGTTTTAGGCAGAGAGAGGCCTTCTCCTTCTGACATCCTAGAAAGTGATATGAGCATTAATATCAAGTGCTAGTGGCTTTGGGTTCCAGGTTTCAGGCAGAGAGAGGCCTTCTCCTGACATCCTAGAAAGTGATATGAGCATTATCTCTAGTGTGCTTGCAAATACTGCTAAAACACTTGAATGTTGTCATACTTGTATAGAATATCAGCCACCCAGGACTGGGGGATAACAGGTCTGTGGTACCCAAGAGCTAAAGACTGCTTGGACAGCAAAGTGCCTGGGGGTCTGGTTTGGGTTTTGAAACTTTAAAGGAGAGGAAGAAGGGTTCACTCCTTGTCCTCTCCTTCCATCATCAGGTAAAGACCTTTCGTTTTCAGGCCAACTCTTAAACAATTGTGTCACAGTAATGCCTTGTTTCTTAAACTTAAGAGATTTTTAAATGTGTTTAAAATGTTTTTAAAATTGTTTTTAATCTTGATATTTGTTCCATTGTTGTTTTAAAACAGTTCGCGGTTGTATAGTTTGCAGTTGTGAGCCGCCTTGGGTCCCCTATGGGGAGAAAGGCAGCATATAAATAATATATTTTTTAAAAAAATTAGCTACATGAATAACTAAACGGTGGGATATTTCCTGAACAGCAGCTGGTTGAAAGAAAGTCTCTTCGAAAATAGTTCTTCAATCCAAGGCTGATGGCTGTGTGTTTACATTCAGATTATACACTACAGCTCCCTGAAACAAATTAAAGGGACTTCGCTTAATAGGGAGAGTCAGACGGACATGATAGCTTCTTTACAATGAATGACTACAAGGTATTACCTCTTCACCGTCAGTGCTTTGGGGAAATGATGGTTTTGGTGCATTGGGTTTTGATGGTTTTTCTAATAATTACATGCTTGTGATCAAGACTTTGCAGATGAGGCTGTTGTTGAACTGAATGTTCCCTTCATAATTTTGACCTTTTAAAGCTGATGCCTTAAGGGCAACTTCGTATTTTTCAGCAAAGCCAGCATGTTACACATCCCATTGTCTGACATCCAAAGTCTTGTTTGCCACTGAGAACTTTTCTGCCTGTTTCTCTAATTTTCTCCTGTTTCTGGAGGGGTGCTCAGTCCCCTGGAGTGGCTTTTCGTGGAGGTCTGTGGCATAAAGAGGAAAACTCCAGTGCCATTGATGGACTATCCAACTGGCTTCTCTAGATCAAAATGATTGTTTGTAGGATTATTCTTGCTTCAGACACATTCTGTGGCTGGGGCCCAGAGAAGACCATCTTGGGTTTATTTTTCAGATATCAGAAAAGATAAGGGGGCACACTCCATCACACCCACCTCCCTCAATTACTGAGCCTGTTGAGAGGGCAGGGGGGAGCTGCAAAGCCCTTTGGATCCTAGCTTTACATAATATCACCTCATGCTTCTCCGCTCGCTCACTCCTTTTTCTGAGCCAACATAAGAGTTACTTTTCATTTGTTTGAATGTTGCATTTGGCCGACTCATTACTCTTATCTGACAGCAGATAAAAGAGAATTCTCATGCTGAATTACTTACAAATATATTTATTGTTGTCCAGCTGTGGCTGTAGTTCAGGATTGGATAATATGTGGCCTATGAGCTGCATCTCTTTCCACCACCACCCCAGGGGATGGGGACCAGCTGCCACCTACCCTAGAAAATACTAAAAACTCTCAAAAACTTGTTTTGTGAAAAGCTCTCTGTTAGCTCAGTCTGTAGGGAGTTTGGGGGGAAAATTTTTGCCATGTTTTAAGGGTTCCCAGCACTTTTGAGGGCCCCATCATTACCCAATTTTTTTATTTAACCATGAGAGGGTACAGTGGCTTTTTTTCATTAAAAAAACTTCTTAGGGTGCAACTAGATGAGGATTTGTCCTGATGCTTGATCTGAGGATGGATTGGTTTGCTCCTTTTCCCGATCCCTGATGCACACCTACCTGCACCTTTCTGGTTCTGTGGCAGAGACTACTCTTTTTTTTTTTTTTGGGTGCGGTTAGGGTTGCTCCGTTTTGGTTCCATTCCAGCACTTGTAATTGCTGGGATCAAACCAAAGTGGACGGCTTAAGTTGCTGAACAGTATTGTGAAAGTGAAAGTTTCCTTTGCTCCTCCAAAGAGGAAACAAGGTTGGTTTTTTTTAAAAGCTTTGTAGGGCAGCACTGATGCACTACTGTATTTACAGTATTTTTAAAAAATGTTTAATTGCATCCAAGGAGGAGGAAGGAACAAGAAGGGAAATTGTTTTTGTTTTATTTTCTTCCTCTTTAAAAGGAGGTGGAACCGATAGGGTTTCTTGAGGTGCAGAGTGGTTTCCTGACCCAAAACCACCCAATCTTTGCATGTCGGTGGAAGGATTGCAGTAAATTCCATACGGAACCTCTATGCGACCGTAAGCAACCCTATTTAGACTGATCCAGGCTACTCCAATTTACCTGTTTAGTCGGATAACAGAAATTTGTTATTGCTATCTTTACAGTACATCGTCAGTCCATTAAAAACAAAATAAAAATATGCAAAATAGTCCCACTCTTCCCCTTTAGCCCCAGCCACTTGTCTTCCTTAGGCTGCTAGCAGACTTGAAGAACGACCCTTGGTTCTGTTGAGATTAGTCATCCCATTCTGTCTATGCATAGTGGGAAAGAATAGTATCTATTCAAGCATCATTACAACGTAGAACTCACACCCCAAAGACCATACTAAAGTTAACCCAAGGGCTTGGGCCTGTCCTAATATTTTTGTCTTTAAATATTTTTAAAGACAAGCCTCAACCCCGCAACAACCCATCTTACTAGCTGCTTCTGAAAGTACCCTCCATTTCAAAAGCATCTCTTTTCCATGAACTACAGTACCAGCAGAGAAACAGAGGTGTAAGGCCCTGCTTGGCCCATAGAACTGAATCTGTGCCTATTTGGCCTCTAGAATCATATATTTTCCAGGATCCTTAGAGCATTTGTGTTTCTTGTTGAACAAGGTCAGGTTAACCAATAATAAAATGATACCCAGTGTATCTCCATGTTTAATCAGTTTGCACATTTGTTAATTTCAAAGTCCCTCACCTTGATGCCTTTGTCCTATTAATGCTTGCGCTGCTCAGCCTTCTGAAAAGGTTCTCTCCTTTGTAGGACCATCCATCGTGACACCCCCAAAAGACATTTGGAACATCACTGGGACCCAGATTTTCCTGAGTTGTGAGGTCATTGGAGTTCCAACCCCAGTCCTCACCTGGAACAAGGTCAGTGCATGTTGAAGATGGGCCACCAGCAGGTTTTCTGCAAGCCAACCTGAAAGGAATGGAGGTCATGACAGAGGGGCTACCGTGATCTCCCATGGAAATCCCATGGAAAGGAATAGGATCCAAACCTAAGCACAAATGTTCTCTCCTCACATGCATTTCATCAGGTCTTGTGTAGGATTTCCTTGTCGATCGTGCTGTTTGCCCCACCAGTGCTTGTGCTTGTGATGGCACAATAGATAATTATTACATCTTGAGGGACGGATGAAGGTGATAGGGGATCGTAGGCAGTAGGAAGAATAATTTCTGAGCAATCAATCATGCTTAAAAGTTCTCATACAGGCATGCCGGACACATAAAGGGAGAGGGTTAGAACAAAACAGGGCAAGTTGGGGAATGTTAAATACATTGCCAAAGCAAACACTCTTTCAGAGCCCTCCAAGCATAACTTAAATTTCTATGATTGGTTTTCAACAGCAGTTATAGTATTTGCGAAAGCAGTGCAGCTATATCTTCAAGGAAAACTTAAGATGTAGTTTTTGCCCTTGTTTCTCAGCACCTTTGTCTTCCCCCCAGCTCTTAAGTTTTCTGCAAGCTCTGCTTTTTTTTCTCTTCATCCTTATACAACAAGCTCTGTTGCACTTTGCCATATTAGGCTTTCATGGGGAAGAGGAGCTGCATGAAAGAATCTCTTGTCTGTGAGCTCATGCCCATTCCCGGAGGCACTGAAAACATTTAAAGAGGCAGGAGCACCAGCAGTCTCCCACTGTGTTCTGCTGTCTACAGTCCTGCTGGAACCAAGTGAGGGACAAAGCATCTGCAAGGGGAGAGGAATCCTGTACTGCTAGAGAGTGGAACTAGATAAACTCAGTGGACTTGGCTCATATTGCAGTGGCTGAAAGATTCGTTTTTATGCTGGAATGTTCTTGTTCCTTGACTTCTGTCCAGTCCGTTGTGGTTTCCCTTTTGCCTTAAATAAGGATTCCGTCCCTTTTGGGTGTGGTAGCACTCCTCTTGAAAATCCAGATTTGCAATTGGGAGTTTTCTTGGACGAACCCCTGTTCCTAGATGTTCAGCTAGCAGCTGTATCCTGGGGGGGACACAAAACTCCATTTCCCTCTGGGTTGGATGGCTACTGCACACTCTGTACAGGACAATTAATATATATATGGACCATGTGAGGTTTTTATATACAGTATATATATATAAAAAATACATGGTCCATAATGCTCCAACAAAGATCCCAATCATCATTGGGAAGATGCTGCGCCTATCTTATAACAACTGCACTGGTTTCAATTTTATTTCTGAGCACAATTCAAAATACTGTTTTATCAACTTTTAAAACCCTAAAATGATTTGGAACCAGGATGTCTGAAGAGACGTTAACTCCTTTATGAGCCTGCTTGATCGCAAAGATCCGCAAGGGAAACTTTTTCTTTGCCCTGATGGGCTGTCCTTTCACATGGAGGGACAGGAGAGAAGCAGATCATCCATTTGTTTCAGTGTTGGAACTATCCATGCACTTGGTACCTAACTTGCACAGTGAGGGACAGAGACTTACTGTACGTAACTTTCAAGGCCGAAAGCCACAGTCTGTCTTCCTCTGTGCAGAGGTCCTTGGGGACAAATTGTAGTCTGTTCCTCCACATCAGAACAGCATGATCATTTAATAATAATAATAACCTTAGAACTGGAATGAACCTTCTGGATCATCGAGTCCACGCCCTGTCAAGAAGGCACTATGGAGAATCAAACTCCCAACCTCTGGCTCTGCAACTGGCTACCTAAACCACTGGGCTAGCCAGCAGTTCTAGTCAATGGACAGGATTCAAAGAGTCACTTAGGATCATGAAAATGATTTATATTAATTCAGTTGTTATTATTTTACATTTTCTGTTTGAACAGCTAGCACTTTCCCCCAATCTTTCAGGAACTTCTTTCAAAACTCATCTATTTAAAACAGCAACGACAGTAACAACAAAACAAAACAAAAAAATCTGTTTACATATTTTTTAAAGGGGAGAAAAAGGCTCCTGTTTAAGGCAAAACAAAACCCTATGTAAAGTCCTATGGGCTTATAGAGCTAATTTCGGAGTTCTTTGGGTTTTGTTCAACATTAACAATGTCTTCTCATTGGCCAGTCTTCTAATGAGCTTCCACTAAAGCAAAGCAGAAGATCCTGCCAGCATGATAACATGGGGCCACACGGCATGCCCAAGAGTTGATATTGTGCAAATGGTGGTTTCCATGAAGAAAACCCACCCTCCACTTTTGCAGTGGCAATGCTTCTGCTGGTGGTAGTGATCCTGTGTTGCTACGCTGGTGGACTTTTTCCTCAGCAGAAGTTCTCTCATATACTGCCCATAAGACTTGAACTTATTTAAAGCATGTGACCTGTGCAGGCAACAAAATTAAATACAAGACAATCGAGAGATTTATTTTGAGCAAGGGGAGGAGGGACTAATTCTTTCAACCCTAATCTTTTTCTCTCTCATATGCCAGATAACAAGGAGCCAGTATGGTGTCCAAAGAATGGAACTTCTTCCAGGAGATCGGGAGAATTTAGCTATCCAGACTCGTGGTGGCCCGGAGAAACATGAAGTGACAGGGTGGGTATTGGTAAGTTCCCCCTTTATTTTTATTTTTAACTAGTTGAAACATTTCTGTATTATTTCAATGGAACAGCGATGTGTTTTAAGGAAGTAATGTCCTTCTCAGACTTTGGGGGCTGGTTGAGATTAATGATAGCACATTGAGGTGACACAGTGGCAGTCTAAGATGATGCCTTTCTTCTCCTGTCCCTTGGTGTGCCCTTTGCTTTGCATCCACTAACATATAATAAAAATAAACACACCTACGTAAATTGTGCTGTTAATCCTAGGTTGTAGGACAACTGCAGTTGAATAATTCAGTCCTACATATGTTCAATTTAGTGAACCCTATGCAAATGTTGCATTCACATGATGGCATTCAACCCAGACTAGACGTACAGTGGTGCCTTGCATTACGACGTTAATTCGTTCCAGCGAAATCGCTGTAGAATGAAAACGTCATAATTCGAAAATAAAAAGCCCATTGAAACGCATTGAAACCCCTTCAGTGCATTCCAATGGGCTGGAAACTCACCATCCAGCGAAGATCCTCCATAGGGCGCTCAGTTTTGTGCACCCTGTGCAAATCTTTCATGCACATGATGACATTCAACCCAGTCTAGACGTAGTAAGAGCAGGGGCTGGAGCACCTGGCTGCAAAACCAGGGCTGGGTACAGTGGTGCCTTGCATTACGACGTTAATTCGTTCCAGCGAAATCGCTGTAGAATGAAAACGTCATAATTCGAAAATAAAAAGCCCATTGAAACGCATTGAAACCCCTTCAGTGCATTCCAATGGGCTGGAAACTCACCATCCAGCGAAGATCCTCCATAGGGCGGCCATTTTCGGTGCCTGTGCAGCGAGGAATCCGTCGCAGAAAACAGCGGGGAGTCATTTTATTTACCCGGAGGCCATTTCGAAACTGCCGATCAGCTAGAGGAAAATCGTTGTTTTATGAAGAATTGGTTCCCAAAGCAGGAAACCAATCATCACAAAGCGAAAAAACCCATTTAGACCATCATATTGCAATTGCAATCACAAAAAGATCATCGTAATGCGGTTTCATCGTAATGCAGGGCAATCGTAAAGCAAGACACCGCTGTAGTAAGAGCAGGCTTTGGAGCACCTGGCTGCAAAACCAGGGCTGGACAGTTCAGATCCCCACCATGGCTCCTGCAAAAGAGGTCTGTCAAAATCACCTGGAGCTTGTGGGGCTGATGGGGTTACATGTCCTGCTCCCCGTATAGCAGTGGGTAAGCAGTACAGTCCAAGAAGGAAAGAATGGCAAACCATTTCTGAGTGCTTTTTAATCTGCAAAAATAATGTATCCATTTTTTAAGCTGATTCCACAGTGTATTTATTTGTTTGTGTGTGTATATTCAGCATAACCGTTGGTCTTGACTTGAAGAATGCATTTAGGGTTATTTCTGCCTGACAATAACTGCAGAGGAGTAGGCGATGAATGATTACTTACAGCTGAAGACGGTTCACTCCCAGTTCTCCACAGCTATGCAAAGAGCTAGGGAAGGTCAAAGGTACTGCAGGATCCACACTCAGCTCACCCAGTGTGGTGGGAAAGCAGCCAGACATCCCGTCTTCCACACAGTAGAAAGTATGTTGTGTTCTTATGCCTCTCTCTCTACAAATCTACATCAGCACAGCTGACGTGGTCCCCCAGTGAGTGTGTTGAGTGTCATACTGTCTTCAAAACACACGTGCTCCTAAATAGAGCCCACTCCTGATCCACCAACTACGTTAGGACCGGGGGTGCAGGGATCTGTATTTTTGAACCACACTTCCCATAATTTTGCAAGTCGTGGTCCAAAAACACAAGCCTGCACATCTCTCCTTACAGACTTTCCAAGTTAGGTCTCCCCATAGGGACCTTGACCTTCTGACAGCCACGAGAAGCAAAGTGGTTTGTATAGCAGGCCTTTTTGCTCTTTGGGAGATCTTCTCACAAAGAGGCCCATGAAGCTGACGCTAGGGGAGCATTCAGGAAAATTATTCTTTGGTGGTATGTGTGGAATCTGGCTGGCTTTAGAGAACTTTGTTGGGTTTTTTTAAAAAAAAGCTACTGCCAATTTATTACACTTTGGAAAAAAAATGTGTTTTTAAAATTAGTCTGCTGTTTTTAATTACTGTATTATAAGCTCACTAAAAGCTCTGGAGGGCAGGAACAAGTCCAGATTCCATGCCTACACTGGGACTTTTCCTGCCCCCATTCTGTATATATCCCTGGCCCTTCGAAGTTCTGTAGATAGAACAGGGGACGGCATGGAATGGCATATGATGGCAGGAGGGAAGATTCAGAAGAAATGCCCATAAGAATAAATATCTCTTACTGCCCCACGGGACATTTAGGAGTCATACCCTAAAGCGGGGGGGGGGAGGAATCTGAGAATACATTTTGGGTTTCGATGGCCGGCTTTCAAATCTGATTTGCTGCAGATGTTTTAAGAATAACAGCAATGGTGGCCTTCCAGTTGTTGTTCTGCAGCTCTCATCAGGTCTAGCTCAGACAGCCCATTTTAAAAGGTCACAAGAACTGCAGTTGAGTGTCATCTGGAGGGTCACCAGTTTCCCACACTCATTCTGGGGAGGTGGGGGGGGGAACAAAACCAGAAACAAATCAAATGCCTTAACCTCTAACAAGAAGGGCTAGCGACTTCCAGAAGTCCTGGGTTGCTCCTTCCAGACACCTGCTGCACTTTGCTTGCATCTGGGTAAAGCTATTTATATGTTTACTAAGTTGATGGAATGACAGGAGGGACTATCAAGAGAGATTATTGGGAGTTTGGAAAGATGAAAGGGCCAGCTTTTATTAATGAATGCTTTCCACTAATGAAAAAAAAAACAACTATAGTTGTTCCTAACTGGTAACCTGAGAGCTGGACTACAGTGGGTGTGGAGTTAGATTGTCCAGAAGTGTTGAGAACTGGACCAAATACTACACAAGGATGTTGTAAAAATCTTGAGAAACACAACATGTTAACTATGGTCCTGCTTTAACAGATATCTCCTCTGAGCCAAGACGATGCTGGAGAATATGAATGCCATGCACTCAACTCTAAAGGAGAGGCCACAGCCTCTGCAAAGATCACCGTGGTTAATTCTATAAATGAAATACCTACAGGAAAAGGTAATGTCGGTCTGTCTCTGTGTGTGTGTGTATGTGTGTGTGTGTGTGACAGAGAAAGAGGGAGGGAG